GGTATAGTTGGCCGTCGGTAGCAGCTGCGAGGGCTGCGAATGAATGGCGACCTGCTTGGCTTCATGCTCCAGCAAAATATCCTGAAGAGCTGTTAACGGCATCGCTGTATCACGGACCCGAACATCAGCAATAATTTCGGAATAATCAGGGGGGAGGCCATTGAGGATGCCAATGACAATATCCTCTTCGGGCATAGGGTTTTGAGACAGGGCCAATGCTTCAGCAAGTCCTTGCATCTCCGCAAGATATTCCGTGATAGATTTTGTACCTTTAACTGTTTTAGCAAAGGTAGACTTGAGCGACATGATACGTCCACGCGATAAACCAGCATACGTTTGAGAGAGGCGATCCCACGCCTCCTTGGCCGTACTAGCCGAAGAAAGAAGAGGCTGAATAGTGTCCGAGCAACTGCCCAACAGAGCACTGAGAATACTTTTATCCTGGCGGTACCAGGTTTGATAGAGCGGATTCGGAGTAGATTTATCAATATCAAGATGAGGGTGAGGGGTGGTAAGGGTACCATCCACATAATCTTCCAGGCCAAGTCCAATGAGAGCGGCATAAACCTGGGTTTTCCAAACTGGGTAATTGGAGGAAGTGAGTTTAATTGGAAAGTGCGTAGAGGTCGTGATAGTGATCACGGTGGAATCCGCCGTGAGAACCATGGCTGTGTGATAGGAACTGTCGACGGCGGCTGCGCGGAACCCTAGGCGGCGGCTCTTGGGAACGAACACGGCTGATGGTCGAAAAAAAAAACAAATATTATTGTTTTGGCTTTTTAAAGTGTGGCTCTAGATACCATATTGAGATGAGAAGTTGATGTGTATTATTAATGATTAAGGAATATATATAGTCCAAGAGTCATGATCTAAGTAAGCTATACAAACCCTATACAAACAGACCAGGCCCAGTACATTAATGAAACATAATTAATTAAGTCGTAATACAGCCAATATCTCCAGAAAAATAACTCCAACCTTACTCTTTCTTATTATTACACAAATCAGAGCGCAAAATCAAAATACGTGTTTGATAAAAAGTTGGCTGATAAGCCGAAAAATATGGTCACCAAACTGGCTCTTAAACTCGTATTTTAGCAACATCATTGTGAAGAGAGGAATGTGTTAGTGTCTAAATTTGGCCTACTAATCTCCTCTCGATAAAGTGGGCGTGAGATCAAATTAAGGAGGTTCACCCAAATAGAACCCATACAATGTCATTTTTCGACAACACGATCTAATGTTTAAATTTATAAATAGAACTTTTATTTGCAATTAAACCAATTTACCTGTGTTTTGAATTTTTTTAGAAACACGTGAAAATATAATGTCGTTCGAATGTGCCAACCTTATCAAATGTAACAATAAATCGCGTGTCTTTCAAACTCATATTAAGCATACAGATTATATGCATCTCGTGTTTTTTCTATATTTGATGATAGAGTAAATTTCCTAAATAGGAGTTAAAAAGTTTTGAAATTCTAAAATAGGAGTGTTTTTTATTCCCTAAATAAGAGTAAATTTCTGCCAAGTTTGGCATTACTAAGCTTTTAAACATGACATTTTTCCCAAACTTGGCAGATTACTCCTATATATTCAAGGAATAAAAAACATGATACTCCTATTTTGGAATTTCAAAACTTTTTCACTCCTATTTAGGACAATTTCTATTGATAATATGAAAAAATTAAACTATGTTTATATGATCTCACCAAATTTACAGCAATTTTTTGTAATGTTAAGTACGTACTGATGAAGTTTTTATAATTTAAGTATACAATTATTTCAAGTGAATGAAAAAGTATACTCTAATGTACTACGCTTATGAAAGGAAAATAGAAAAACTCAAATTAGATGAATATATTATTTATATGCTAAAATGATGTTATGTATGTCATTTTTATTTATCAATTATCATTTGATATTACTTTGAGTTGGTATTTATCGTGATCGAGTTAATATAAATATATACGAACGGAAAGTTTATGATATGAATGGTAGATAGACTATCCATAAAAAAATGGAATGTAACATTATCATTATCTTTAAAAATAGAGGAATAAAAAAAGGAACTCCACAAAACTATATAACCAATAAATAATGATTAGGCCGGAGATGTATAGTATATAAAAATATAGAAGGTGAGGAATGGGGTATAAAACTTTATTCACACTCACATGCCTAGTGTCTTCTACACATATCATACACAATAATAATTAATTTAAATTCCTAAGTGAACCAGTCCACGATCTTACTTGTAGATCAAGTTCACCAAATGATAAGATATACATTATTTATTATTACTACAATGCGATAAAATTTGAGATTGTGGAATATCTATATGGTATATGTGTAGGTTTTAAGCATACTAAGTTATACATTTTTTTGAAAGGAAAACTAACATATTATATTAAATCAAAACTCACGGTACATCCAAGAGAAATTGCAAAACATAAACGTAATCACCCGACACTATCCTCTCTCTAAACAAACATAACCAGAAGCCCACCGACCCCCTCACTTCTTCATCAGACATAGAGTAGTCTACCCCAACAGGAGCGAGACTAATCGCTGAAAATGTGAGAACTTTGAGGCTATTAACGGCTGAATCAGCTTGATTGCCTCTCAACAAAAATTCAACAACTAAGGTAACCCAAACTAAGAACCTACCACCCTTATTATTTGACCTAAAAAAACCAAAATAAAGATTATCAAACAGGACATAGCAAAAATAAATAAATAGCAGTTGTGTCACCGTCTTCCAGGCCTTAGTTGCGTAACTCCTCTGCGGCGGTGGTTCAGGAGGGGGACGAATCATCCACATCCCATCTTCTTCCTCCACCATCTGAGGCGGCCAAAACAACCACGCCGATCCCCCAACAAGCGATTGAAGCCCAAATTCACCTCCTTTAAACAGGACCGATACCGCCAGCGTTCCACCTGGATCAAACACAGCTGGTACGACTCCCATCACAGACACCATCAGAGCCAACATAGCCAAACCAATCATCGCAACCATAGTCTTCGCAGATCCACGATTACCTTAGAAATCATTGAAAACCATTTGCACCATTTTAACTCGAAAACTAGCAAAGTCAGGACTCCAAAGCGCCAATAAGGATCAACGCCGCCCGTCAAAAGTCTAGCCCGGGCTAGGGAAACGCCGTGTACCGGCAAGAGATCCACCGCTCCCCTTTACGATGAGCGACGAGCTTCAATCACCGTATAGGGCCGACTGCACTAAGTTATACATTATTCTTCTATTATATACAATTTATACTAAATTGAAAACCTCAAAATTGAAAGTCTTACCTCCATTCTAAGATGAGATAATATCTCCCTTATTATTAAAAGACGTATGTATTTTTCTAATATATATATTCGTGTATGTGTGGTGAGGTTCAAATAAAAAGAAACTTTTAGGTGAGAATTTCATCGATCTGTTGGATTTGACTATATTGCAATAAAAAATAACTTCACATTTCACTATGTTGCAATAAGAAGTTGTTTTGGTGCTATATCGTCAAATTTTAGTGGAATATGAAACCGTTTTAGTGCAACATTGCAAAATTTAAATCATACCGCAATATTAAGCTGTTTTTAGTTTAAACACATAAATCTATTGATTGATATTCACTCTGATTGCTCACATTAGATGCATTTCTCACATTATATGTGTAGTCTTAATTTGCGAAATTCTTTTGCTATTCACATCCATGTATGCACCATCAATCTTTCTTCCTATTTCTACATAAATAGTCACTTGCATCTTTTTACCCGGTTGGTAAATCACCTATGAGTGGGGTAAATGAAGTCATATCACATGAAATATGTAATCATATATTACCTCCGTCCCAATGGACTTTGCACTCCTTAAGTTAGGTGAGAAATAAGAATAATAAAAATTGTGTGGTTCAAATTTGTGCAAAGGAGAGAGAAATGAGTAGAACCACTAAATAGTTACTTTAATGTGAAAGTGACAAAGTTTTTTGGGACAATCAAAAAGGAAAGATGACAAAGTCAAGTGGGACAGAGAGATTATCTAGAAAACATGTATCTTCTAGTAACAGTATAGTATTTTCCTCTTCTTAAATAATTGCAATATAGGAAATTTTACATGATTCACATACCATGTGTTTCATTTTGTCTTTACCATAAAGAATTGTCTTTTGAAAAGTATTATTAAATGTGTCTTACTTTAAGTTTTGAAAAGACAATTCTTTATTTAAGGGTAGACATAATTACGTGAAAATATACTTTTGTGAGTTTTTTAAGTAATTAATCGTGTTATTGTATCCTAAAAATAAATGCATAAAAAATTAATCGATGAATATACCTATGATATAGATGGGATGGTATTATTAAGAATTTTTGTAAATTAACTAAATCACAAATATAATAACTTATCATCTAATTAGAATATCGTGTTATTGTATACCACAAAACATAATTTTCCAGCACTAGACAAACCAAAGACTAACAATTGTATTGGAATTGATGTTTAACAATTAACAAATAAAATTTCACAATTTAATTAGTTCGGTTTATTTGATTCAAATTTATTTTGAAAGATCAAAATTTGGACCGAACCAAAGAATTGACGTTCAATTATTTGCATTCGATTTCGATTATTTTGGGATTCGATTTACTTTGGTGGTGATTCTATTTATTTAGAGCTCGTTTGGTAGCACGAAAATCGGCTGATTTGGCTGATTCTGGTGAAATTTATAATATTCTGGCTGAAGTAGCTGCATTGACTGATTCAAGAAAAAATTATTTTTAAAATATATTTTATTATTAAAATAAAGAAAAAATTATATGTATAAATAGCTAAAATGATCATCTACTGTAACTTCAGTCAATACAACCAGAAAAGTAACTCCAACCTTACTTTTTTTGCTTATTACACAATTCAACGCGCGAAAGCAAAAATTACGTGTTTGGTGAAAAAGTTGGTTGATAAGCTTGATAAGCCGAAAAACAGTGTTGAAACGGCCTCTTAAATTTGGTTTTCCATTTTTCGAACCCATCAGTTTAGTCTATACATGATTTATTTTAATCAGTGACTAAAAACCAAAGGATACTTGAGAATATAACGAGTTCATAAAGTCTTTAAATTCTTCCGATCAATTCAACCCATGAGACACAATTTGTCATATCTACAATATGTTACATGTGACATCTCTGAATTATCACAAAAATAGGGTCTCTATTCCTTCAATCTTTCTATGTAAAAAAGTAACAAAAATCATAATCATCTGTCTAGTTGCTGCTAAATTAGTTATGAAACAAGAATGGCCGGAATGGAAAAGATTGAACTTTTTTCTTTGAGCCCAGAATCTCACTGTTGAACTGCCATTTCTTCTGTACACATAAAAAGCCTCTCCTAATTGGGGCTTCATAATGAACAGTGGACCAACTTTTCTCTTGCTATTAGATATGTTGAGGATCATAGCTCTGCTTTCATTTCAGAAGTACTTAAAGTTCCTGCATTTCCCATCATCATTCCAAAATAAGATTCACTCACAAAATGAAAATTACCTAAAGCAGTATTGCATTTATCGTATTTTACAAAAAGTGAAATAAATATAAAATAAACCAACCATGAAAGTTCTGTGTCTGGTTTTGTCCAAAACCCATATGGACAACACTACTTAAATCATCCTCGAAGAATACAGGCACCTGGAAAATTCATTGTCTTAGCATTAGTATACACAAGAGTAACAAAGAAAACAAATACTCCTTTTTTTATCACTCTGTTAAAAGAGTTTTCACTTTAATCAGAATAGAACAAAAGAAACATAGACAAAGTATATAATACTAGTAGTAAATTTAGAGTAGAAAACAAGAAAGAGAAGATGAACGTGGTATAAAAAGTGGGAAAAAAAAGATAAAAAGCAGAGTAAAAGTAGGAAAAATAGGAAAGGGACTTTCTAAAAAAGAAATAATAAAGTGGTTAGTCTTGTAATTAGTGTTAGTCTTACAGTTAGTATTATTATTAGTTTGATTTGATTTTATATTTGTGTGTGACCACATTATGGTCAGCCCCTTTCACCCACAAGAGGTGGAAGGGGACTCGGGGCTAAAATGTGCATTACAATAGTTTATTTACCTGAGAAGATGGATCAAGATAAGTGTCCATATGAGGCAATGTGAGCTCCTGATTTCTACAAAAAGGGGCTTCTGATCCTTTAGAAAGGACTGATTGCAAAGTTGGGAGTGAATGCTGAGATTGAAAAGAGTATGGAATTGGTGATCCGGAGGCATTCGGTGATGAAAACACATTTTGAGACATTGTTCCTTGATATTCATACACCTGCGATTTTCGTCATGGTTTCGGATTACATTTAAGCAGAAATATTTTAATTATAGAGCACTGATTATTTACAGATTAGCTAATTGTGTGACTCTTATTATAATAACTTACATCCTTGGAGAGAAGAGCTTCCATGTCGAACTCCATTCTTGGATTTACTGTGGCAAGCTTCATTGACAGAAACTACAAGCCAAAGAAATTGATGTTAAGGCACATATAATTATATAAACCGTATTATTACTGTAAATTTTAGGCTGAAACACCAAGTTATAATCCAGAAATAATAAATTGAAAGGAGTTGTGGATTTTATTTTTACCTCAACTTGTCTTTGCAATGATTGCACATAGTTTATAATCTCATCTAACATCACAGCTTTTCCAGTCACCTATCAAGAAAGCAAAGGTAAATATTTTTAGAACACTGTAAAATATCTATAAATTTCAGAAACATAACTAATCTTTAACAACTTAGTTGTACCTTATTGCAGCCTGGCACTAGATCTTGCAAAAGCTTCATTCTTTCACTGATCTTTTCTCTTCTAACTCTTTCTGCAAGGCTATGGGCATCAGTGGCCTGACCCCTTCTAGCTCTCACATGAATATAGTCTTTTACACTTTCTGCAGCCTTTGGATTATTAGCTTTATTCTCTTTTCCATCGTTTTGCTCTTCTAGTTTTGTTCTTTTGGGGTTATTGAATTCATTGTTCCCTGATGCAGCTGCCTGTATAGTCCAGTTGAGCTTTATTTAATTGCCTCAAAGGTTATTTTTATGAAAAAATTGAATCATTTCAGGTGAGAATAATATACTAGTATCAGATAAGATGAACATTACATTGGGAGATGATGTTGTTGTTGTAGTCTCTTTGGCTTTACCCTTTGTAGAAGCTTTCCTCTTTCTTGGATTTGTATCTTTTTTGCAGATTTCTCCAACTGCAATCTGATCTGAGACGGTGGAGTTCTCCCTGGAATTGCCCAACTCTGAGCTTTCGGGCGTGGATTTCTTGATGGAAAGGTTACCGGAAAGCTTGCCGGAAAAACAAGAAAATCTTGCAGCCCTGTCAGCAAAACCGGGATCGGTTGAAAATTGTTGTGGAAGGTCAGGGTGAATGGGAAAATCGGTGGCCATGGTCTGATGATCCAACATTGATGAGAGATTTAGCTTAGGAGGGGAATTATAGCCGGAATTGTTAGTGCAGGCGGACGGAGAAAACTCCCCGGAGGAGTTGTCAAAGCTGCCTAGCCTTCCAATGAGTTCCTTGAGTATAAAGACCTGATTCCGGACGGAACAGTTAGCTCCTCCGGCGTGAGATGCCGCCGGAGATGAGACCATGGAGCTCAAGGCAGACCGGAAAGGGTCATTCTGATCCGCTGGACTGTCCCAACTAGGACTGAACAGCTCATTGCCATGAATTCCAACTCCATGTGGCATTGTGATTCCATCATTTGAAAACAAGTTTTGCTTATACATGGGTGGAAATGGAAGTTCAAGAATGGTTAATTAAAGAGATCAAAACAATGAAGAATCAACCAAAAGAAGTACAAGAATTTTTAGTTCTTGACAGCTTGAGGTGCAAACTATTGGAAAAGGGGTAGACTTTAATGTCTGGAAGTAGACTAATTGATATTGAGATTGAGATATATAGGACTATTGGAGTGTTTTATAAAGACGGAATGAGCAAGCAAGGGAGAAATATGGTGGGAACTGGGAAGTAAAGGGGAAAGGAAGGGTAGATAAAGAAACAATTTGACCATTTCATTCTTTTTCTATTTTTTTCAACAAGATCCAAATTTTCTCATCCTCAAAATCCTCATCCATTTTTTTTTCAATAACTCTTGGTGTATATCGTGGATTACACAGTCAAACACACTTCTTTATTTGCCATTTACTCGCACAAAAAAAATTCAAATACAAACACTTTCGACAAAAGTGTTCTGTGTGAACAAAAATTGGATAGTATAAATCACACTTTCCACAAAAGTGTCGGTATACACAAACACTAGTTGTTAGTTGTCTGTAGAGTGTAGATAAAAAGTGTTTGTACATATACAATTTTTGTCTGTGTACACAGACATTTGTTTTGGTGCGATCTAGCCTTGATTATTTTAATATTAAAAGAAAATCAATGTCTGTTGATGGAGTATATGGCCCAGGGACCACCGCCCCATAGACTCCTGCTGCTCTAACCAAGGCCCAATAGGCCCAGGAAGCACGACAAGCCCAAATCACAGCGCCCCAAGTACCAAGCAGCCAACAAAGCACACTGGGGGTGCCTTCGGCCCCTTGGCCGAAGGCTCCAGATACTCACAGAAAGGCTGTTGTCAGCATACAAAATTAGTCTATTTATTTAAATTAGGCCATATAAAACTAGTTAAGTAATTAAATAAGGAAATATTAATATTAATAGCAATTATTGAATAAAAATTGGATGTTGTAGTCAATTATATTCAGATATTTTATTTCAAATATTGAAAATTAATGGATAAAATTATTAAGGTAATTTTATTAATAGAAAGTGAGTAATCAAATAAATTCGGATAATTAATAAATTAAGTTAATAAATTCAAATAATAAAATAAAAGGAGAAAATCGGGTAAAGTAATTACAAATAGAATAAGTGACTAATTTATCATATTTAATTAAAAAGGTGATTATCTAGAGACCGGATTAGAGGAGGATAACTAGGAGCAACAGGACTTAAGGTAAGTTTCTCTGCCAATCCAAAATTGTTTCCTCGTATTATATGCTTATTATGCATTATGTGATTAAGTGTGAATTGTGAATTTTGTGTATGTGATTTTGAGAAGATATTATATATATGGTAGTTAAGAAGTATAAATCAAGTACTTTTGGGGTATTAAATACCTTTGAGACTTTTTAGAGAAATTAAGAAGTATTTTTCAAGTATTGTTAAGCAAAGATAAAATTTACATTTTCATAAGAAGATAGCATCTCGGGAGTAATCCGAGGTGTCGGTTTTTCCACATCCGGATAAATGTGGAGGGTGATTAGAGCTACTACTACTAAGAAGTACAGTTTGGATCTATGATCCCTTTTAAGTAAGATTTGGATCTATGATCCCTTTTAAGTAAGATTTGGATCTATGATCCCTTTTAAGAAGAAGTTATAGTAGTAGTCCCTAATCATTCAAGAATTTTAGAATTGGGGTGGTTGGGTTCCGACCACTCGGGATGACTTACTACTCGGAGGGCTTGGAATCCCTTTTAGGGGGTGTGCACACTTAAGGTAGTCGTTTCGTTTCCACAGAGCAGTTGTGGTACCGGCACTTGTTCGGGGTGGCCGTCCGTAACCACGGTCCACCGGGCTCTACCGAAAGGTTAAGCACCGCCCTTCTAAATTACTAGGAAGTTAGAGAAGAAGTGATTTTTTTTGAGGAAATCAAAGAGAAGAGTTATTATGAAGTTTTAAAGAGAAGTTGAGCATTTTTGTAAAGAAGTAGTTTGAGAAAAATCAAAGTGAAAAGAATTTTGATGGTGTGAGTATTTTTATATATTATTATATAAAAATCTATTTTTAGCCAAACCTGATTATTTTACGGGGTTGGGTAGTACTTACTTAGCTCTAAAGCTAATTTTTGTTATTTTTCTTGTCTCTCTCTTCTCCCTTAAATTTTATCAGGTGATGAGTTGGATACCTATGTGGATTGACGGATTGCTCGAGCTTGAGTGCGAATTAGAAGATGCCTTTGTTAAATCTAGTCATAAATCAAACATTTACTTATTATTACATTAGTTTTTATTGATTTACTTTGAGTTGCCTGTGCATTCGGTTAAGAGATGACCGAATGTGGCGGTAACACTCATTTCCCTTTGAGACTTCCGTTGTATTTCTTCAACTCTTTGATGAATGAATAAAGTATTTCTTTTAAATATATCAATGTTTTGGGCGGGAAATTTAGGGGTGTTACAACTGGGTTCCTCCATCTCTGTAAGTCCAGGGGGTGGCACCTAGCTTGGACTTATTTTTTCAAAGTTTCAACTTGTGTCGGGGGAGCCATGCGAACGCCGAGGGCTTCGCGAACCTGCAGCAGGTAGCTCAGTTCAAGCTATTCACTGAGGCCCCTTCTTCAAACAAAGGGTGCAAAGACCGATGGTGCTACGTGAAGTTGGATGAAAGCCCATTTCCGAGGGAGCTGCGCGACCGGTTTAGGCGGCATGAGAAGGTGAGGAGCGCCGCCGTCGAGAAGGATGGCATGATCCTGGCTAAGATCCCGGAGGGTCGAAACAAAATATAGCCATCAAGGAGTGCACCCTGGAGAGCGATCTGTACGCCCTCGGGTTCTGGCGATATCGTTTCCTGGGGGAAACAGATGAAAAGTACCCGATGTTTGATGGAGCCTCCGGGGGTTTATGAGGTAGTAGCCGAGGGCATTCAATTTTTATACTTAGGAATATTTTTCTTTCTTAGACGTAGATATTTTTTGCACGTTTGATTCTTCGGCCTAAACCGTCTTCATTCTTTTGCAGGTATCAACATGGATCTTAACGCCTTCACTGCTCTCAAGAAGCAGAAAACCAAAGTCCCGGGCAAGAAGGAGCCCAGTAAGCAGAAGCCCCTCGGGGAATTCTTGAAGAAGGGTGGTGAGCCTTCGGACGAAGCTGCCAAGAGGAAGGCAGCAGGCAAAGGTCCAATCCCCGAGGGGAAGAGACAAAAGAAGGGGGTGCCGGGAAGAAGGCTCCCCCGGTGGTGGTCGTGGATGAGCACTCCACCTCTGAGCCCCATGTTCTAGTGGCGGCGACTGCTTCCAACCTTCCCTCGGCCCAGGGGGTGAAGTAGGTTTGCCCCGGGAGGACATACGATTCTCTCTGCCGAAGGGTGCTGCCATTACAGATGGCATTGTGGACCCTCGGGTGTTCCTAGGCGGGGCTACTCCTTCGTTGGACAGGAAGGCCCTCGGAAAGCTTGACGATGAGGCTCTTGAGTCAAAGATCCTCCGGTCCTCCCTCACTGTAAGTTTTTTTTTTGCATAGTGGTCTACTTCCTCTATCTGTTGCATGATAGTAGCCTTACCCCCTTATCTTGTTGTTAACAGGCTTGCATAGCCCTCGGTGAGCATGCCAGGAGGTTCGATGAGTGGCGCCTCCAGAAGGCGCAACAGGATGAGGCTATGAAGAAGATCATCCGCGATAACGCCGAGGCCGTGAGGCAAATGGCCCAGCTAGAAGGGGACCTTCAGCAGGCAAAGGCTGCGGTGGAGAAGGCGGCTAACGAGAAAGCTGAAGCCGAGAGGGCCGCTGCTGAGGCCGCGAAGAAAGCCTCCGAGGATGCAGATGCCGCCAAAGCGGAGGCCGCCGCCGGTGCTGTTGCTGCTTTCATGGCCGAGGGGTGGAGGGTAGAAGGGCACAAAGACTGGGTGGCTTCGGTCGTGGAGGAATCTGCCGACGGGTGGGTGAAAGGCCCCGGGGTGATGTGGTTAGCTCGAAAGGGCGAAGACTACTATGCTGGGGGGAATTTTTTACCGAGGCCCTTATCTATAGAAGGCTGGCGTGGCACCTGAAGATTAAGCCGAAGGCTTTTGATCCGGCGGCATATGGCCTTCCGTCCTTCCAACCAGATATCAGAGCCCCCCTCCCTGCAGATGTTGAAAGGCTAGAATTAGGGGATTCTGAGCTGCTGAAGGAGGCCGGGGAGGAAGAGGAAGGGGCCGAAGGGGACGACACGTCGAAAGCCGCCGAATGGGGTGAGGCTGCAGTAGCTGATGATGTTGTTGTTACATAATTCTGAAAAACATTTTGTTGTAACGAACATGTACAATCTTTCGGCTTCGGCCTTTGTGTATAACAATTTTTTATTCCCTGTTGGTGAATGAATGTCTGCCTTCGGGCCTTTCATATATAATCTTCTTTTCCTTGTGGATGTATGCCTTCGTTTTTCTTTGTGAAATGAATGCCTTCTAATATGCCTTGTGAATGAATGCCCTCGTACTTTGATGCTTAGGTTGTCAGTTGTTTGGGACTTAGAAAAATTTTCTTAGTGTTGTCCTCCCACCAGGCCCTCGGTTGTGTGGCCCCTCGGGCTGCATGGGTGTTTGACCGAGGGCGAAATATTTAGGACTTAGAAAATTTTTCCAAGTGTAGTTTCACCAAGCCTTCGGCCGTGTGGCCCCTCTGGCTGTATGGAGATTTGACCGAGGGTCAAAAATATTTAGGACTTAGAAAATTTTTCTACGTGTAATTGTATGAGATAGGAGCCTTCGGGTGAATGTGAGAGCCTTGTCGTAGGCGTGCCTTCGGTTGACTGGTGACTCGACAGGGGGCAAAGCATTCAGGACTTTGGAAAAAAATCTCTAAGTGTTGTTCAGTATCACGCCTTCGGTCATTTGACATCTCTGGATGTGAGAATACCTGACTGAGGGCCAAATATGCAGAAATGCAAAATTTCTAAGTATTGTTTCACCATGTGGCCTTTGAGTAATGTCACCCCCCCCCCCCCCCGAATTGCATGGGGTAGGAGCCTCCTGGTGACCTCCGTGGGATGGCCGAGGGCCAACCATTTAGGACTTAGAATGTTTTCTAAGTGGTTGAGAATCATCTGTCCCTTCGGCATGGGGAGCCTTCAGGGTTGTAGCCTCTTTAGGTGAGACCTCCCTCGGTCATGACGGTAATCTCGGGGGCACCCACCCTAGGGTAGCATCCTTTGATCCGTGAGCACTGGCCCCCGGTAATGTAGGAGGTGC